CCAAGTTACCCACTCCTGGGTAAGATGCTGCTGCTGAATGAAATCTATGGTTAAACCTGTAGTTAAAACCTAATTAAAAGCCATGGGTTCATTCATAATGTCAATGGGATCATTCATTAAGTCCTAATGGTACTTATTGGTGAGAATTTTATAAGCCTCTTTAGGAACATGATTAAAATGTATTTTCAGATATTACTAGGTTTAAAACAATATTTTGTGAATGCCAAATGGACTTTTTACCCGTAAATTTGTACTTTGTCTTGATTATATAATTATAAACATTTTTCAGAACATTATGACCATGACTATTTTCTGCCCAGTCAAAACAGAACATATATTATGATGTTTAGTGTAAACCTCTGGGAAAAATCCAGTAACAGTGGTTCAGTCTGTACCTACTCAACTATCCCTGGAGTGGATGAGAAATAATCCTGTAACATTGGATGCTATTTCTGTTAAAACTTAAGGTGAGATACTATACAAAGAATTTGGTTTATTTTGTTTGTGGATGAAAATAGCTTTAAAGTTATGCCTTAACACAGGAAAAAAGAAAGAAAGCAACTCTGGATGTGAGAAGCTAATCTTTGAGACTGTTATTACCTATATTATCCATCTGACTGTTTCCAAAGCTTATAAAACCAACTTTTTTTTTTTCCTTATCTGTTGCCTGGACAGCCACTATGTACTTGTTTGTCTCCACTCAGATTGACCAGGCATACTGTTGCATTTTTCCTTTTCAAGTATTTTCATATTGGATTAGATGCTTTTTATACTTTTTTTCCCAATTTAAAAAGCCTATAATTCTAACTCATTAAATTCTGACTTGAAATAATAGGGCTTTTGTCCCCAAACCTGGCACCTTTAACAGGAACATCTCAGCATAGGATGGGTATGTTTGTTCTATTTTAATTTTCTATTTATTTTCCCAAATCTATTTATTTTCCCAAATATATTTTAAATTTTGAAAGTTTTATAGTGTTACCAACAAGAGTTGGGACCAGGTTTGTGGTTTATGCAGTTAAAGAACGAATACCTCTAACGCTGAGGTAAGTAAGCAAGCAGGAATTTTATTTTAAAGCAAAGTGAGAAAGAGACTCAGAACTCCTGGAGCAGGGGCAAGAGTGCGCTTTAAGTCCTTCAGTGCTCCTCCTTTTACAGCCACTTAAGGAGAAGTTGATATGCTTCTTTGGTGGCCTCTTGATATTTCAATTGCCCACTGTGGGTGCCAGTGGATTATGGGTTCTTAGACACAGGAACTGTTTTAACATGTTAGTGTTGTTAAAATGATTGTGCTTGCCCTCTTTATGACTTTGACTGCCCCTTCTCTACTCTCCACAGCCTGGCCTCTTCTATCTCAATAGCAGCTGAGGACCCAAGCCATTGACACTGCAAATTGACGTCAAGTTAAGTATGTTCGTAGAAATGTATGCAAATAAAATATTGATTTTTAGTTAATAACTTACCAAACATTTCAAGCTGTTAAAACTCCTGTGAGAATTTCAATGGTCCAAACAAAGGAAATGGATATATGTTGCTAATATAAATGACATGTAGCTTTCTAGTTGTTTTTTCTTTGTTTTAAACTTGTTCCCTGTTTAGGATTATTGCTCAGGAAATGATATGTATACATATATCATTGAAGCCAGCCTCAGTAACACAGTGAGAACCTGTCTCAAATGAAAAGGCCTGAGGCCGGGCATGGTGGTATATGTATACATATACATACTTGTATATATACAGATATACACATGTGTGTGTGCACAGCTATGTATATATACATACATATATATGTGTGTGTATATATGTGTGTGTATATATGTATATGTATATATGTATATGTGTATGTATATATGTATATGTGTATGTGTATATATATGTATGTGTATATGTGTATATGTGTGTGTGTATATGTGTATGTATATATATGTATATATGTATATATATATATATATTCTGTTTTCTTTTCTTAGTTTCCTGACTCCCAGAAATGGTCCAGGGAGAGTTTGGGAGTCGAAGGCAAAGTTCTGTGTATGAGCATGAAGGGTAGAAAGACTTGTGAGTTGTCATTATTATTAACACAATCTCATTCGTAGCCACAGGCTGATGAGAACCATAGATACAGTGAAGTATCTCCCCAAAGAAGGTACATCAAAAATGTGGTGCCCAAAGCATTCTTCTGAGTTTTCTGTCCACAGGTTTGTCTCTGGTTTTGTTTCTGACCTGCATTCATTCCCTGGTTTCTGACTCGGGCCTCCACCGTTTAGCTTACTGTTTCCTTACTTCCTAATCTTGCTGCTTTCTTTCCCAGTCTTTGCTTAGTATTTGCCTTCCTAGTAAGGCCTCTATGCAGAAAGAAAATCTGTAATGGCTCCTTTTGGGTCTGGCCTAGAAGTTCCTCCACTGGACTTTACCACCCACATTCTGTGCTGCCCCTTACAGTCACCATTAGTATACACTGGTTGGGTGGTGGTAGGTAAGAAAGAGGAGAGCCCAAATATAATAGAGGGTAAAAGTAATTCAAAACTTGTCTTGGAAGTTTCTTTAGAAGCTAAAACATGCAAAAAAAAAATGAAAATAGCATAGATACTGTCAATCCTGATTAAATACTTTCTGGTAATATGAGCTCACATTTAAAGAACTTACTGCATCAGACACCATTTTAAATAGTTTGCAAATGTCAACTTTTTAATTCGTCACAGCAATCACAAGAAGTAGATATGTATTCTTTTGATCCTTACAATACACAGAGGGAAATTGAGACCAGAACAGTTAAGCACTTACCCAATGTTACACAGTAAGATGCATCTCTGGGATTCATGTGACTCCAGGGCTGACCCCTTTAATCACTAAGCTATCATACCACCTATTTTGAACAATGTGACACTAAATATCCAAAGATGAGGCTATAGTAAAATGCACTTGATTACATGTACTGACTTAGAAACATGTTCCAAAAGAACAAGTATGATTTAGTCTAGCACTTACATAAGAAAACAATATCTATGCACTTATTCATTTCTGTATCATTTTAATACTTGAAATAAACGTGTATTGCTTTGGAAACCCAAAAGACAAAAAAATTTTAAACAGAATAACAGGCTAATTTTAGTTTTTAAAAAGGAAGAGCTCATAAGTGAAACGATAAGAGAGTGCCTTGTTTCACAGCTCCAGGATTTTGCCTATGCTGTCCCTGCTACCTGGAGTTCTTTCTTTTTTTTTTTTTTTTACAAAAATATATTTAATATTCATAAAAAGCAAAAATGTACAGTATTATTGGAGTAACAGTGCTCTGATACACCATGTAGTGTTTCAGTCAGATTAATTATGTGTATCTCTTCAAACATCTGTCAATTCTTTATGGTGAAAACATTCAAAATACTTCCTTTTAGATTTTTGAAATGTAGAGTACATAATGGTTGTCCCTAGTCGCCCTACTGTGCAGTAGTACACCAGAGCTTTTTATTCCTATCTAACTGTAACTTAGGACCCATTGATCAACCTTTTCCATCTCCCTTACATCTACCTTTTTCTTTTCTTTTTTAGTGCACTAATGAAAAACTGCCTCATCTTGCATTGTAAGACATTTTACAGAATTACTATGTAAGACATACTAGCATATCTCAGAATTTAATTAAAGTGGAAGGCATACCAGAGAGGTGCCAAAGGAGTGGAATATTCATTTTGTTTCATAACTGAAATCAACAATTTGAAATATGTTTATAATTTTTTGCCTGTAGCATTCTTTCATATAATTTTCATTTTTTAAACCCCTAATGGAGTACAGACCTATTTATGTTTTCTTCTGACAACATTTATCCTTCCTACTTCTTTAGAAAATTGAAGTTTTGTTTTAGAAAATATTCAGTGCAACATCTGTATTCCTGTTGGGCAGCAGAGGGCACTATGGAGTAAACAGACTTCAGAGGAAAAGAAAGGGTTTTTGATAGATCTGGGCAAGTGTCCTGACTTGTGTTGATTGGTGGTGGTTGTCTTGAATGATCAAATTTCACAACCTAAGTCCCTGTTTCATTCAAAGAATCTGTAAGCATATACCTAGAAATAGTTCTTGTTAGGAAAGGCTAGTATCAAGAAATCAATTCTATTTAAAATTGGGAAATAATCCATATATCATAAAATTCACCCTTTTAAAGTGTGTATTTCAGTGAATTTTAGTGTATTCACAAGGTTGTACAACCATCACCACCATATAATTCAGGACATTTCATCTCTCCTAAAGAAGCCCTGTACTCATTAGTAATTACTACTTTCCCCAGCACCTTGTCACTACAAAACTACATTTTGTCTCTGTGGATTTTCTCATTCTTGACAATTCATAAAAATGGAATCCTACAATATGGGGCCTTTTGTTTCTTCTTCCAAGAAGTGTAATGTTTTAAAGTTTCAGCCATATCATAGCATAATACGTCATTATTTCATTCCCTTTTAGACCTGAATATTATTCCGTTGTTTAAATATATCACATTTTGTTTATCTGTTCATCACTTGACATTTTCCCCTATTTTTGACTATTATGAATAATATTAGTAGGAACATTCATATAATTTTTTGTGTAAACATGTGTTTTCATTTTCCCTGGAAACATACCTAAGAGAAAAATTGCTGTGTCCTTTAGTAATTCTGTGTTTAATTTGTAATTGTCAAACTGTTTTCTATAGTGTTCACACCATGCATTCCTACCAGCAGGGTACAGGGGTTCTAATTTCTCATCATTGTCAACACTTGTTATTGTCTATGTCTTTTTGATTATAGCCATTATAGTGGGTGTGAAGTGGCATTTCAGTGTGGTTTTGATTTGCATCTCCAAGAAATAGATTCCTTTAAGCATTTAGGATTCAGGCATTTATTTCAAGCTTAAATTTTATCTCACTACATTGATGTAGTAATATGTAATGTGTTTGGCTATAATGGAATAGATTTTTACTCCCTCACTTATTCTTTACCTCTCTCCCTTCTTCCCTTCCTTCTTTTCTTATGACCAGGTGCTAACAAGTCTGCTTTATTCAAGGGCACTAACTACTTTGAGTTGATGAAGGGCTTGGTTCAACACCAAAGTTGGTAATGAATGTTACCAGAAGTCAAAATGTAGAACAGGTAAGGTGATATTTCAAGAACATTATAATTATTTGATCTTGTACTATTTGTGTAAATATTGTATATTCTCAACTACTGAGATTGTCAACAATGAAAGCTTATATTAAGAAGCATGAAATAGCTACTGTGATGAGTATTCCAAATGTGTTTATTTATGAAGCATGGGACAGTAACTGACCCTATGCTAAGATTCTCTCTAGTCTGAAATACATGTTTTGACAGTCTTGCCTTAGGTAACATGTCTCTTTGTTCTCTTTGTAGATACAGGCAAATATTTCACTTGTGATCAGCACCTTGTTTGTAGCTATGGTGCATTCAAAACTGTTGGTTTCTGATATGAATAAAAATAACAAATTGGCATTCCTCATCTATTTGGCACATTGACTTCATTAGTGTAACAGACACATGGTGACCTGACAATTGAGGAAGGGGCTTAATACATAGGCTGAAGTCAGTATTTGAAGGGAGGAAGTGTTGGAAATGAGAGATGGAAGGTCTTGTAGGTTTTGCTTAGCATCTAGGACAATGTTACAATGACAGAATAGTGAACTTGCTGAGGACTGCTCATCTTGAGGTTTGCCTGCTTGCCGTAAATGTTCCCAGGGCTACTAGCTAATGATACCAATTATGTAAGCTGGTACCTTTCAAAATATCAATTTATATCTGCTGTATAGATTAATCTGATATAGGCCATGCTACAGTAATACACTAAAACCTCAGTGACAGTGAAAATATTTCTCGTACCAAGTCCCAGAAAATGTGTATAGTCATCTCCATTTTGTAGTTATGCTTTCTGGGACACTTGGTCAGAAGTTGCTGAAGGTAGAAAAGATAATTTGTAGAGAAAGTCTACCCAGCCCAACTGCTTGGGGTAGAGGTGACATTACTTTCACTAACATTCCATTGGTGAGAATTTGTCAAATTGTCCTTTTAGCTACAGGGGACTGAGAAATAGAGCCTCCTTGAGGAGGGACTAGCAAGGTGAAGTGATAGCCTTCACTGTCATGTATAATATTGGTGAAGTATTCACAAGTCTGATCATTTTTCATTCTTAAAATACTCAGAAGGAATCAGGGCAGGAATACCTGTGTTTCTCCTGTTGGGGAAACTGAGGTTAAAAGAATCTCAGTAATATTCCAAAGGACATACAGCTAGTATTCAGGTGACATTCAGATGTCTTTCTCTGCATACATATCAAACCTGAAAAAAAGATAGATGAATGTACATAATTGTGGTAGAAAATAGTCATTTTGACTATAATAAACTCTTTTCTTAAGGTATCTGATGTGTCCGTGTTATTTTTTTTTTAATTTTTATTGTTTGTTGTTCAAAACATTACATAGTTCTTGATATATCATATTTCACATTTTGATTCAAGTGGGTTATGAACTCCCTCCCATTTTTACCCTGTATACAGATTGCGGAATCACATCAGTTACACATCCATTGATTTACATATTGCCATACAATGTCCATGTTATTTATAACATAAAAATTATAATCAAAATCAATTTTATTAATTTTATTACAGTAAGATTAGCTTACTCTATAAACCAATAATTCTAATTTTACCACAATACTAATTTTACTATATTGAACTAATTGCCTACGTTTTTATCTTCCTGGTAACCTAGCCTTTTTGAGGCCTTGGTCTGTGTCTAATTCATCTCATTACCCTGGCATCTAACACAGTGCTCTGCAACCAGTAGGTAATCTCCAATGTAAAAATGGCCACCCTGAGTGGAACTTGAATCATGTTCCACAGAACAATAATTGACCTATTTCTCAGCATTGGAGTTAGGGAGGTTTGGCCGTTTCCTGATTTCATAGATATTCACCATAACATGTATATGCATGACCTATGATGGTGATAGAATGGGACATTTCTCTTTATAAAACTAATGAGCCCATAAGAGGATGGAAATCAAATTTTCATCCCTTAAATATTATATTCTAGGGGACTCAGTTACCAGTCCAGCCTGTAATAGGTAAAGCAAGCTAGTCTATTATTATTCAACATAAAACATAAACCTCTTTCTCTCCTAGAGTTACAGTGAGCATACTATAAGGCTCTTCTTAGGAATTTAACAGACTTTATAGAGAAAATATTCACTGCTCAGAACAGAGACAAGTATGCTTTGTTGATGACAATTGCAAAAGATGGAGAAAATTCCTGCAGTGTTAACACTATATAAAGTTTAGTCCTAGCTCTAATGCTACCTCACTCTAATACCTTGGTCAATTATCTTCACATCTCTGAGCTCCACAGTGAAGAGGTTGAATGACTTTTTGTTTCTCCATGGGGAGGCATTTGGCATCTATGATGGGAAATTTTTCATGAATGAGAGAATAGGGCACTTTGTAGATGTTTGACATCCTTGGCCCCCAGGTACTAAATGCCAGTAGCTTTCTCAGTCATTATGGCAGCCAGAAGATGCCCTCCCCATTCCAAGTGGGCTGCTCCCAAGTTGAGAGCTATTAAACATGATTATCAAGTATTTTATAATTTCATGATAGCTCTACATCTATTAGAAATAAGATATTTGATTTTAGAAAAGATTGATAATGATGACACAACAATAATACTTGTAATCAGTGTCTGCCAAGTACTTAACTATGGCTACTGTGCTAAGAGATGTGTGTGGATTATCATATCCTATCTAATAGCAACCATTTAAAGTATGTCTTATTAATATTTCTGTTTTACAGCTGAATACAGTAACTCTTAAAGAGTCACTGCACAAGGTGATACAGCTAGTAAATGCTGGGGTGAGGATGAGAAGTGATACAGGGGAAATGAAATGGGAAAGGGGAGCCAACATTGGATACGAATTCCAAGTGCCATGCTCTGTAAGTTTACATTCTCTGACTCACTGGATCTCTGACAAAAACCTGAGATATGCATATGTCATTATGTTATAGATGAAAAAGGCAATGAACTTTAACATTTGACTTCATTTCTTTGTTTTTCTATTTTTTTTTTCCTGAACTATTGCCCTGCAGTAATCAAAATCTTCTATAAGGTTATCTTTTAAATGCCAAGAAATGGGTCCATTTCCTCCTGAAAAATGGAAGTATAATATTTCCCTTCTTGCTTCTTCATTGGACAGAAAATGATGAAAAAGATTATGGTGATTCCTTAGCCAGCCAGCATATTGACCTAGGGGTTTCATCAATTCATTCAGCAGACATCGTACTGTCGACATCTCCCTCTGCCTGCATTTCCAGACTTTGTTCCTGTGTTTCTCTGCCACTCCCCACACCTGTTCAAACAGCTTCTCGAGCATTTAGGAAATGAAAATGGGGTGAGCAAGTGATTCGTGTTCTTTTTAAAGTTTCAAACTGACTGCTGTAGACAGACTGCTTTCCTTGGTGTCAACAGGATGAAAATCCTCTTGATGCTTTATTTGTACCCTCTTAATGCTCATCATGAAAAACTGATGCCATCCAGCTTATGGATTCCTGTGGGAATGACACAAGATAACCATCAGGGTAGGTGACTCACAACTAAATCACCACCAGACACCAAATGGCCCTGCTGTGTGCTCTCTCCTGGGCAGAAGGAGGCATGTGATAGGCCTGTTTTGCTAGTTGCACTTTGGGGTACATTCTGTTTCCAGGCTTGGAGAGTATCCCTGAAATTCACTCCTACTTGGAGTCTGTCAGAAACCTGCTACAACAACAGCACTTTTGCATTGTGGAAGCTGGATTTGCATTCCTGTGGCATCATTCAGGCACAGAGATTGGATGTGTCTCCTATAGGTTTCATGAGAGCCTTTGCCATAGCCTTCCAAGGAAGGGTCATGTGGCCTCACTTTGACAGTAGGAAATCTGAATCAGAATGATGCTACCAAAGGCCACTCTCCATTTAGGGTGATGAGAGCAACTCTAGGAACTAATATAATGAAGAGTTAGAAGCCGAGGCTAGAAAAAAACCTTAAAGTTCATTATTTGGAAGAAAGTACTGCATCCCAGAAAAGGTAGGTCATTTGCCATGGGTTATACAATTTGTATGTAGCTGCAACAGTAGCAACTGAGCAAAGTCTAGGAATTGCAAATTTCTAACCTACCATACTTATAAATAGCCAACCTTTGCTGTATGTAGTGTTAAAGAAAAAAAATTCATGACACTTGTTAAAATGGTAAGGAAGATTTTTCTTCAGGACTTTTACAATACAGATATTGACTCGATTCCAATACAGTCAGGACAAGAGGATGATTGTACTGGAATTGAGCAAAGGGCGGTGGATGGAAAATCATAGAGAAGCCTAAAGGGTAGAGCTGTTCTTGCTGATGCTGGCCTAACAGGCTTCTTGCTGAAGGTAGACTAAGAATGTACACATGCCATATAGGCCATGAAGAACACAATTGGATATCATGGATGGGGAGATCTTCCCTGAAGCAATTTAGCGGAATTCTTTTTGCTTTGCTTTGCTTTTTTTTTTTTTAAGTCCTGGGGATTGGACCCAGAGGTGCTTTACTACTGATACATATCCCTGTTTTCTATTTTCTGTTTTATTTTAAGATGAGGTTTCGCTAAGTTGCCTAGGACCTTTGCTGAGGCCAGCCTTGAACTTGCAGTTCTTCTGCCTCAGCCTCCTGTGTTGCTGGGATTATAGGCCTGTGCACTGTGCTCAACAATTTAGCAGGATTCTTGATGCAACTGAGCTAAGCAGGCAGAAGGCAGGACAAGTAAGGTAAGATCACAGAAGCCTGATTACAGTTTGTTCAAAGAGAGTTTTTGACAACAGGAAGCATCTGGAATGAGGGTTAGAGTACAGAATCTATAGGTCTAGGACTGGGCTTAGAGTTTGCATCTTTCATGAGTTCCAAGTGATCCTGAGGCTGATGGTCTTAGAACACATTGAGTAGCAAAGCATTAGAGCACATTGCCATTAGAGGACCCTGTCCCAGCATATTTTTCTCTTTATTAATAGGAATATAATTTCTCCCACCTATGCTCTTAGTAGGGAGGCAGCAAGCTTGCTCACTACTTTCTCCTACCCTTGTGCTTTCTTCCTCTTTCCCTCACTTGCTTCTTTCTTTCTTTTCACTTGTTATATTCAGCAGAACATGAAAACCACAGGTTAGTAAATGCATTCTAAGTTGACTAGAAGATGATTGCTCATAGAGAATGCCCAGGATTAAAATGAGCACTTCTGTCAGATGATAAAGTGTTTAGGATGTGATTTCTAGATAATCTACACTCTTGATGCCCTGTCAACATGTGAAAGGATGTTTAAGTGGCTGGTGGCACATATCAGCAGGGTCCTGGATGCCAAGCTGTCAAGGTTCTTCTTCACTGCCATTCTCAACACCACTGTTTGAAGTTCTTTTTTTAATGTAGTTGGACACAATACCTTTATTTTATCCATGTGGTGCTGAGGATTGAACCCAAGACCTTGCACGTGCTAGACAAGCGCTCTACCGCTGAGCCACAACCCCAGCCCCTGTTTGAAGTTCTTGATGTAAGAATATGTGGAGGATGCAGTCAATCCATATTTACAAGCAGATTTGAAACTATGACCCAAGTGTGGAAAAAATAAGATCAAAGAATAATGGAATTCATTCTCAGTACATTTTTAAGAGCTACCTTGGTTGGAAAAGAGCTATAATTTTATATTAACAATTATTGTTATATTATTGAGAATTTATTACTCTCATTTCTGTTTTAAATAGAAGTATAAATATATGCAAAGGAATCTTCTATGATTTTGAATTCTAATACCATTAAATGTTTATAATAATCTTTAGTCCTTAGACAAATCTGAAGGAGACAAGAATTTAATTGAACATTTGTCAATTGTTGGCTCTATCTGCCATTATATGATAGTGGGTATTGTTTTTTCTTTAATGTATATTCTTGCAATAGAACTGTTTTTCTCTCTCCTTTCAACTATTCATATCTTTGAAGTATACTGTGAGCAACTTTGAATTAATTTTAGCATTAAAAAATTTCAATAGCTCTTCATTCAGCACATATTTATTCTGGAGCAAGAGGAACAGAGGAAAGCAGGCATTGACCAGGCATCCATTGACTCTGGTCTGGATTTGAAAGCCTGCATAGATCTCATTGAAAACGTAATATCTGTTTGTCTCCTTGTCCATTTTCATTTAAAGAGAATTGTCCCTGCTTGACATGTTGATCCATGTCAGGAATCAAGCTCTGTCAGGGGATGGGAAATGGGGCAGAAAAGTCCTGCATATTTTCTCCTAATGGGTCTTTGTGTGCAGAGTCTTTAACATCCTAGCTAAACTCTCATGTCATTTGCCCTATTCTATCATCTCTAATGCAGATGTAGCTACATATTTGTCAATTTGTGCATAGCCTCTTTACGCAAAGAGGCTTGTTGTGATTAAAAATGGTCATTCTGTTGACTGGAAAAACAGAGCTAAAAACATGGGTACTGTAGAGCATGGCTGATTAGCATAAGGTGAATGAGTAGATCCAAAGAGCTTAACGAAATTTGGCAAATTAGCATGCAAACAAACAACTACCATAAATCCTCAGGCCACTACCTTGCAGGCTGTAGTTTGTTCATTTAATTGGACAAGTACCAGTTAGTTTCAGTAATTTATGACAATATTTCATGCCTTATTAGTAAATTAGCTTCAGTGTATGGTTTGTGAATTTGTTGATGTCCCTGTACTCTGGAATCTTTCTGCATGCTCTGGGAGAGTTGGCATGGTCTTTTCTGTGGCTTTGTCTGCATGAACAAGATGGTAACATGTTAGAAGCTTGTGGGTTGCAGTGAATTTTGGAGACAGGTCTGAGCAAACCAAAGCCTTTAACTTTCTGAAAGTTCTGTAGCTACACTGTCACCTTTGATTCTCAACAACCATGTCAGAAAGGCACTTGGGAGACTGACCTCTCTCTGTCCTTTGCAGGTCCTGGATTCTATCATTTTGAGTGTCCTATCACTTTTATTAGCCTTTACATGAAACTAAATCTTCCTTGAAAATTGCTGTGATTCCTAACAGGAGTAGACATCATGTTGATTTTATTCATTTTATAACCAGTGACTTCTTGTAGGGAGAACAGTTTGCTTAAAATGCTTAAAAATGATTAATAAATCAAACATGAGCTGATTTGAAAAAATAATAATGATCCAACCTTGATCTGATAAATTATTTGTGGCATTCTAAAAGGTACATTTTTCTGATCAAATATGAAACAAGGGTCTGGGGTTGTGGCTCAATGGTAGAGCACTTGCCTAGCATGTGTGAGGCACTGGGTTTGATTCTCAGCACCACATATAAAATAAAATAAAGGTCCATCAACAACTAAAAGATAAATGAATAAGTAATGAAACAAACTGAAGTTCCTAAGAGAGACTGATTTAGTTTCTGATAGTTGTCACCTGTAAATTCTGCTTTTTCGATGATGACAAGATACTGTTTTCAGGCAGGAAAGTGAAACATAGATATTGTTTAGATGCTGGTACCTCTCTAAATGTTACTGATTTTAGTAGAATGAAGCATATTGCCGTATTTTTGCCAGCCTCAGTTACTCCAGCAAGAAGGATGTAATTTCCTGTTGTATTTTCTACTGATATGATAAAATGAGAAGAAAAAAAAAAACAGATAAAAGAAAGCAAAGCAAAGTCTTTGGTTTCCTATGAATGATTTCAGCAAAATTCAGGTCAGGCAAATAAGGCATACAAAAACATTTCTCTAAGACATTTTATATATTAAAAAACCATTATGTTGGTTCAGGATATCTGAAGAAAATTTGTAGAAAATACTAATAATTAAAACCACTCCTTAAAATAGCATGAATCATGGAAGTTTTTAACTTTCAAAAGAACTAAAATACATGAATATCTGCATAATGTTTTATAATCTGCATCTCTGCGTATTTGGAAAAAGGATTTTCATACATAGACTTTTTTGTAAACTTAATAGGAAATTTTTATCTCAAATAAAAATGTTGTTAACTTAATTTCAGGCTTACCATAAACTCCTTCCATAATATATATGCTGTGAATAAATCTATTATAGTATTAGCTCACACTTTCTTCATTACTTAAAATATTCTACTTCATTTAGGACTCGAACAATAATTATTTGCTTCTGAACATATTAATATACAATTACAGACTTATGATTATACATAAGATATTAGCAGAGATTATTCTTTTTTTTTTTTAAATATTTATTTATTTTAGTTTTCGGCGGGCACAACATCTTTGTATGTGGTGCTGAGGATCGAACCCGGGCCACACGCATGCCAGGCAAGCGCGCTACCGCTTGAGCCACATCCCCAGCCCAGAGATTATTCTTATTATTTCCTAAAAATACAAGTTTAAATGTATATTTTTTTATTGTAACTCGTTCAGTGTGTTAACCTGGAGAGGCTATATTCTCAGTAATTTAGCTTTTTTTGGACATTCTCACAGGTGGGATTAAGATAATTTTAGAATTTTATCTATCTCAAGAGAAGATTCGCTCTATACTTACATCTTCCTGAACTTTGTGTCTAAACAATATTATTCTGTTGATACATCCTTTGCCTATCTGCCTGAACTTGGTCTGAATATCAGACTGTGGGAATTTTTGATGTGTCCATAGTCAATAATATCAAATATTCTAAATAAATTCTAAAATATTTAAACCCTGGTAGCACTGAGGCACTAAATAGATATTGTTGCCTCTGAAGGGAAGCTTTTTGAATGTGATAACTTTATATTTAAAAAACCCAAATTAACCACATTACTATCTAATTATATCTTGTAAACACATGAATATTTTCTTTAAATACAACTTCATGCTTTTTGTCATTGTTGTTGGCAACTCTCACTTCTGTCTGATCACCAAAGCAAATTAGGCAAGGTTCCAGAACTCAAACCTGTGTGTCTCAGTTTTCACCTGTCCATCAATCTCTCTGCAGAAATTTGCAGATGGCCTACACTTTAGTCACCTCAGGACCTACTGTGCTAAGGGTCTGGAGGAATGCAAAACCCAGAAGGCATCACCCTGGCACTCAAGGAACTGCTGGTATACTTGAAAGGATGTCTTAAAACCAAGATTTTATTGTTCATTTTCATTAAACAAGTGAATCTGCTTAGCAACCAATGGTTGCCTGCTTCTTCTCATCCATTGGTAAGGGAGGGATCCTTGGTCTAGAGTTATGGAGATGGCCAAATATATGACATCCAACCCTGGATGAATGAGATCAGCATCTCTTCAGTCTCAAATGCTCATATCTCCAGGAACATAGATACCCCACAACATACGGTCCCTCAGAATAGAATGAATTGCAGGGAGAGTGAGAGGCAGGCTTTATAGTAAAAGTAAGGTGGGGTGGCCCTAAGTTCCAGCAGAAGGATATGATTGGCTTGTTTGCGTAATTCCACAGGCTGAGAGGAAATCAAGACCAATTACTCAGGGATAATAAGCAGACACTGTGTCTTTTCCCTGTCATAGAAGGGCTGTTTTTGCTGGGAGGTTTAACCTAGGAGGGGAATTTGTGATTAGGTCATTTGAGCCCCTCCTGGTTTTCCCCAGATTTCAAAGCATACATAATTGGGCTTTGATGATAGCACACTGCTCTGTATAAGTCTTTGAATTAAATGCTATAGAAAAATAGCATTTGTTTTAAGTAGCACTTGCCTTTAGGAAATATGCAGTCAAGTAAGGGATTTATAAGTCTAAGAAATGTAAAAGTATATTTTAAAATTATTAAATGCAATAAAATCACAAAGAAAAGTCCCAAGTGACGAGAAGCATAGAGGTCCCCCTGTCTATAAGAATCTAGAAAAGTCTGGTGAGGAGGAGCACAAAATTTCGATTAGATCTTAAGAAATGGGTATAATTTTAGCAAATAAATACAGAAAGACAGCAAGAAGGGAGACAGGCCAGAGCAAAGACAGAGACAGGAAAGCAAAGAACATGTTCTAGGCCTGGGATTGCACTGAGTCTGCTGTTCATTATGGGTAGAACTTATCTCTTAATATGAAATTTTCTTACTGGTGGGCAAGGAAAGTCTGCCCAATTAATTAATTGAAACTTCTTTAACTTTTCCCATGCTTGTTTTATAGTTTTTTTGGATACAAATTCTTTACATGTTTTTAAAAAATTCCTTTATAGTTATATTGTATCCATTTTAAGCTGTTGCAAATAGTAGTTGTTTGTTTGTTTTCCTTTCATTATCTGTTTGTTGTCAGTAAAGAGAAAGACATTGGGTTTGGGGGGTGCAGGGAGGAAGAACTGAGAAGTGAAATCAGACTAAGCTTAGGAAACCATGGGTGATCTTAGCGCATGGAAATTCAGCAGAATCGTGGAGCCACAACCCCAATGGGAATGAACCAAAACATGAAAGAGAAATTAGGAAAATGGGGCACATTAGATTTTGAGAAGTATTGTGGAAATGAAAGTGCAAAGTATTTTAGGAAACAGGGTAGAGATGGCTATAGCCAGGGGCGGAAGAAAGGTTCAAATGTTTTTCAGGTTTTTTGTTTGTTTGTTTCCTGAAAAAGGTAGAAAAAGAGATTCAAAGATCTAGAAGCTGAGAAATAAACAACAACAACAACAACAAAAAAAAAGTAAATCCTCATTAATAAAATATATTTCGTTTCCATGTATGTACGAGTTTGTCAGGATGAACCCATCTACTATGTATTACCATAAAGCTCTAATAAAAAATTACAAAAAAAAAAAAAAAAAGAACATGTTCTAAAATGTCCAGGAGTCTAGTTGGAGCACAGAATGTGCAGAAGAAAGAAACTTGAAGAAAAAAGGAGTATCAAATTGTGAAGGGATTTTAATTTATACTTTAACGCAGTGGAGTTCGGAGGGGTCTGAGCTGGTTAATGGAGAAGTCAGAGCTGCTTGTGCTTAATCTGATAGGTTTGCACGTGATGTCTGGGATGGGAAGACAGGCTAATGATAAGCAGGTAGGAAGCTGGTATAGCAGCATGAGTGAGAAATCAAGAGGTCTTGATCCAGAACAGCAGAAGTACAAGTAGTGAGAAAGTAACAGAAAGGGGGAAAGACAGATTTGATAATATTCAGAGTGAAAGAGGTCAGACTATGTTCTGAGTCAGGGCAACTGATTCAAACCATTTGTGTACAACGTAGGACAACTGATTCTGTGGGGCAGAAAATAATTACTTTATTCTCCAACCTATTTGTAAATTAATTTGCTTAACAGCCCCTTGTTTGTTAGAAGTTTTATACATCCTGAGTACTTGAGAAATAGAGAAGACCTTACAGGAACTGTATTTCTCTCCTCGGTGGTGCAGTTATGTTTTGAGGTATGAAATCTGCTTGTTTCACATAAAACTTCCCCTCATCCCAAAGGGGAAAGTTGGCTTCACTGGAAACCAGGAAAATTGAGATCCTCATGTGTGGGAGGCTGCTCTGCCTTCTGCCTCAGTTGGGAGCTGCTGTTCTTGGTAAAGTTTTGCCTCAGTACTCTTGTTAACAGGCACCATCCCAGGAGGTGCTTGCATTTTTTTTAATTTTTTTTTTTTTTTGTACTGGGGATTGAACTCAAGGGCAGTCAACCACTGAACCATATCCTCAACCCTATTTTGTATTTTATTTAGAGTTAGGCTCTCACTGAGTTGCTTAGTATACCTCACTGTTGCTAAGGCTGGCTTTGAACTTGCTCTCCTCCTGTCTTAGCCTCCTGAGCCGCTGGGATTACAAGCTTGCACCACTGTGCCTGGATAAGATGCTTGCATTTTTAAATGAATCATTTTTATTTTCACTGAGGGTTTGCTAGAGATATGTAGGATGTATGAATTCCATTTGTACTCAACACGGTACACGTGAAGTTCATACATCCGAGCATTAACACCAGAGAATCAAATGTTTAATTTCCAGATTTCCCCTTTCCCTCTCCCTCCTTACTTCCAACATTGCCTAAAACTCACAAGGTCAGTGTTGTAGGAGCAAGATAGGTGTTGCTTTCACTAGGAGAACTCTGCCTCATTAGAGTTAAGTTCACCTCTTCACTCTGCAGGATTCCCTAGTCAGATGCTTGGGGTAAAGATAGTTCTTGCCTAGAACTTTTCAAGAGCTATTGCTGAAATGTTCAATATGCTTTTCATAAAATTCAAGTTCTTGGAACATGAGAAAATACACAAGTGGTAGAAAACCATTAGAGTGATAGACTCGGATGGATTGAAAAGGTGATTTTCAAATAAATGATGAGAAGAATTATTAGACACATTTGCACGGCTTCTAAAAAAAAGGATTCCAAACTATAAACAAATTTTGTTTTCACAACTTACCTGTACAGACACTTGACTAAGAGTTTGTGTGTTCTCTTGCCATAAAAAAATTCAAGCATAAGCTAACCAGCCTTTTAGGAGGGAATTCTGAAGGGAATTCAATGATCTATTAGGAAATTTGGACCACAACTTCAATGTCTCTTCCAAATCTGAGTGTCTATGGTTCTTAGTTTCAATGGGTTGATACAGAATCATGAAATCTATGTTGTTGGGGCAAGGGGACATGGTCTGTCTTACTTGCCGTACCTTGAAATGTCACATTTTATCTGCACATGTTTCATCTGTTTTGAAGTCTGTGTATTATGCCCATGTCTTGTCTTCTCAGATACTTCTCAGAGCCCGTGTCTGATTCATTCTAGTACAATCTAAAGTGTCTGATATAGTGATTTGATCACAAAAGAAGGCATTTTAAAATATTCATGGAGTAGGTAAAGGAATCTATAAATAAATATGCAAATATAAAATTCATTGATCTGCCCCTGCCCACTGTGTGTTTCCCTGTATATAAGTATGTGTATGTCAGTTAATGGCAGTATCCACTATCCAGCTGCTCAGGCCAATAACCTCCTTATCTTACACCTCACATTCTATCCATCAGGAAGTTGTGAAAGCTCCATTTTCAACATATCTCACATTTCTAATGAGTTCTCACAAGCCCCAACACTATAACTAGACTAGACTAAGGGTCAGCAAACTAATTTTGTGGGTCAAATATAGCCTGCCATCTGTTTTGGTAAATAGTTTTATTGGAACATTGTCACTCATTTATTTTACATGTTAACTGCTGCTTTCAGTGCCACAATGGCTGAGTGGATGCAAAGGTGTGAAAGAGACTCAATGACCCTTTAGAGAAGAATTTGCTTAAGATAGTCATAGGGTTTTCGGTCAACATTCTTTTTCGTTTTTACAACCCTTTAAGAATATAAAAAAACATTATTAGTTCAGGACTTCCCTGTTGACTTTGCTCACTCCTGTTCCAAACCAATGGTTCTTTTCAAGCATAAATTAAGTCACATCACTTCATGTTAAAAGTCTCCAAAGGCTTCTCATTACATGTAAAGTCCAAATGCCTTACTGAAGCCTATAAATTCTTTGGGGTCCAGCTGCAGTTAAGTCTATAACTTAAGTACACAGCCTTACACCAATAGCATCTCACCATGAGCTCCATATCTGGCTCTGTCCCTATTTGGTTCCAGATGATAGGATCTCAAACTTGCCAAGTGTGTGCTTCTGCCTTGGGGACTTTGTGCTCTTCGTTTTTCTGCCTTGAATACCTGTGCCCAGATTTTTTCAGGTGGTTATTCTCATTCAGGTCAGAGAGATTTTCCCTGACCACTCCCATCTAAAATAGATTTTCCTCGGCCTGCTCTCTCCAGTAGTGTCTCCCTTGACTTTGCATCTTCAAAGAAGTTCTATGAGACTACGTTATTTATTTTATATCTTTGTTAATTTGGCTGTGATATGTCTGCTTCACCAGAATGTAAGCACCCTGAGGAGAGTATGTGGTCACTGCAGAATCAGCAGCTCCTGCAGGTGTCAGTATTGAATTGTAGGTATTTAATACATATTGCTGAAAGGATGATTGGCTAGTTACATCTAGTGAATATTCTCTCCTTTTTCAATTATTAGGGAATGCATTCATACTGATCCCCACTGGACACACTGTTTCTTAGAGGTTTTGAAAATGTGCTGTCTTCATGTATGTTCAACAGCCCATGGGCCTCCTCTTCTATCCTCGAAGAAAAATGCCTTTCCTAAGGCTACAGACACAACTTTCAAGAAAAAACTATTTTGAACAGTTGATTTATTTCCAGAAGCCCAAGTCTGATGAGAAGGGGAACTATGAAGCTCGCTTTGAACTCATCCATTATGGCGGAGTGGAAAGTTATCGGCACACCCCGTCCTGAATTTTCCTGACTCTGTTTCAAATGCACTTAGCCAAAGCCCTCAGATAATATTTAAGTAAAGTTTAGGTTAAATGAAGAGATGAACAAAACACACCTCAGTTCTAAAGGAAAGGTAGTGTACCTTTCTGCACTCAGGAAGTGAAACAGCATCCCATGTGCACAGAGGTCAAAAATTTCAAAACGGACTCTGTCACCCCAACTCAAAGCAGGACTGCTACAGAAAGGAATGGATACCATCAAAGACATTTTTTTTCTTATTTGTCCTCTTTTTAACTCGACATTGTTTGAATGTGAATTATTTTCAATAGATCTTTTTATTGAAGAGGTTTTTTTTTTGTTCTCCCATAAAGAGTCAGTGTCCAACAGTGGTCTCTAAACTATGGCCCACAAAGTTTTCTAATGACCCTCATCCTTTTCTCGTTTCCCCTCTAGAGCATGTTCCCTTCCCCCCCCCCCCCCCCCCCCCCGCTTTTCCACTTCTCTCCAGTGGTTCTGGGTGGAACAGAAAGAGAACTGATTGAAACATTTTTTTTTAAACTAAAAATGGCTTTCCAAGTGTCCCCAGATGTGCTAATACTTCTTTTTGATATCATGGAATATTATTAAGTATGATGATTTTTACAGTAAAATGCCATTATATTTGCTAACTTTTTTTTTTCAAGTGCTCTGTGGTCAGGGACAGTTGACAATTTATCTAGCCTTGCCTGTGAAGGACTGCCGAGGTGAATTATTAATACTGGAAATGATTTAATGCTTTCTTGCTGTCCCTTTTCCTCCCCCCCCCCAATCACTTCCACCTTCTGTTACTTCTTCTTTGCCCCTTTCTTCTTGTTCCTATCTCTTCCTTTCTTTTGACAACTAAATAGTGAAGCTTGAAAATCTCTTTGGGCTGCACAGTGAAATTCTGGGGTATCAGTACAGTTATATCAAACTGTTTTAAAATAAAGGACCCGCACAATTTGTGATGTTTTTCAAGTAGCGTACAATTTGCTGTGTCAATTCATGCACTTTCCCTCTTTTGTTACCGAAGTGCATGCCTTAAAACATCAGTGGTTGGCTTGAAAAGAACAAAGACCTTAATGAAACAGTGGTGGCAATACTTCAGAAGTGTTCCAACAGACTCCTGGCAAGCCTTTCGGAAAATTACATCAGTACTGACAGTGGTAAGTCAATCAATCTTCCTTGATTTTTTTTTCAGCCTCAGAATGAAACCCATGGGTTTTTCAGCTCTTACAAAAATTCTTGCTTCTTTCCCGTGATATCTGTTTCTATTCCCTGTGGTCTGAATCATCATCTCTTATTGGCCTTTCTATCCTCAGGCTGCTGGTTCTTCAGAGAGATGGTGTTGGTGCTCTGAGAGGTATTTCAAGAAGTCCATTTTTATCCTGCTTTTATTTCCTATTTGACTTATCTGCAAAGAGAGAATAAAAAACACATTTTGATAAATGGTTTGGGGGCAATAGCCAGCCCCAAATGTATACAATCGTGCATTGCTTAAAGATGGAGATGTTTTGAGAATAACTCCTTAGGGATATTATCCTTCTGCAAACATCACGGAGTGTATTTACACCTAGATGGTCTAAATCAATCACTTGACAGGCCCCTTGAGGGAACATTAGTAACTTGATAAATTCAGTAAACAGTAAAGAATATATACTATGGTAAATACATAATTGAGCAAAATAGTCATTTGTTATCATTATCAAGTATTATGTACTATACATAATTGCATGTGCTCTACTATACTTTCATAAGACTGGCAACACCAACATCATGACCAATATGTAAGCAATGTGTTGCACTATTTACAGCAGTACAAGGGCAACAATTTCACTGGAAAATGATTTCTAAATAATAATTCATCTTAATCTTATGGGATCACTGTTATATAATGTCAGAGACTATATATACGAGGCAGGACTGTATATATATATGTGTGTGTGTATGGAAAGCGAGGAGGGAGGGAGGGAGAGAGAGGACTCTATCTTGCAGGTATAAGGACAGAAGTGTTAGAGTAACAGCTCAAAAAACCAAAAGCCAAATGTTTTCTCTGATATGCAGATGCTAATTAACAATGAGGGGGTCAAGGGAAAAATAGAATTACTTTAGATTAGGTAGTAGGGAGTGAAAAGAGGGGAGGGGGTATGGGGGTAGTCAGGAGAGTAGAATGAATAAGACATTATTACCCTATGTACATATGTAACTATATGACCAGTGCGATTCTACATCATGTACAACAAGAAGAATAAGAAAATAAACTCCCTTATATATGATGTATCAAAGTGCATTCTACTGTCATTTGTAACTAATTAAAACAAATTTAAAATTTTTTTAAAAATGAATAAATGAAGGAGCACTAGGCAAGTAGCTCAAAGGTCTAAGTGGTTATGTGATTCTGCCAGCACAGATTATATGACGTGTGAGCAAGGCGCAACCTAATCATTTGAACTTGTTTATTCACCAAAGGGAAAAAAAAAAGAAAGAAAAAATGGAATTCTGAACCTAAAAAAAAAAAGCATCTCCAATTTTTTGAATCCACTAAATGGCAAAGTCTAGGTAGTAACTAAGACTGTTTCCTAGTCCCATGTCTATTCTACTCTCAATGACTCCCATGCATTTATGATTCAGTGAACACTTCTGCATTATTATACAATGGGTTTAAAGACACTGAGCCCAAGTGGCTGACACCAGACTCACAGCTGGACTAACAGTAACCACAGAGAGAAGCTCTGCATGATTTACAGCAAAGGTCACAGATTGGCAGTTTCTGAGTAGAATCTGGTCTTCAGATATGTTTTGTTGGTCCACACAGGTTAAAAAAAAAGTCAAAGCATTTCGCACCTGTGGATTTCCTTTTTCTTATGAAACATGAAAATCTGGGAAAATACAAAATCTGACCAGCCTGGTTTCAGATTCCCTCATGGCAGCAGTGGGGCAAAGTGCACCAGCTGTTCTTTAAATGGGTCTCATACTCTCACTGCCTAATGTCCTCACCTTCCTATTATCTTACACCCAGCTTCTCCTGAACTCCTGACCCCTACTGATATCGCTGGTCATCAGTGAGGGGTACTGCTCTCTCACATGTTGAAATATGACATTATATGGTTGCGTTTGCATGCTTCTCTAAAGCAGGGTTTATTTAAGAAGGGATAACATAGACTTCTTCTGGGAGGGAGGAGGGGGCCATAGCTGGGATCATGTATCCCAAGAAGTGAGAGCATTCTGCCTTTTTTATAGGACTTAGATCCAGGAGATGCTCAGAGAGATGGCCAAAATGTGAGAAGCAGATGGGATGGAGGGGCTGAAGTGGTATGATCTGGGTAGGAAGGGGGCATATTCAACAACTGTTGTAACTCCCTGTAGGGAGGGACAATCCCTGGGACAAGTTACCTTAGCAATAGGTTAGAGGAAGGGCTCTGAAGGAATTAACATTTCAATCCCTCCATTTTCTGGATCTGACCCTTGCCTATCTGCCTAATTCTGGCTTCACTATCAGGCTGATTTGGGACTCTTGATTGCTGGGTTAATCAGGGAATGGAGAAAGCAGTTAGCACTTTCTAGATTCATTAGCCCATGATGACACAATTCAGGAGCATGCTTGAAATCCTCTGGGCCTGCTTTAAGAGGTGGTTGAGAAATGGAAGCTCTTGTGTTTGGACTCTGCTAGTCATCAGGCTGTGCATTTGCCCGATTCTAATAGCTTCTCAGTTGCCTCTGAGGAGTCTGTAAGGTAGTGGCCACATAAGCTTATGGCTCCCAGTTGAGTGATTTTCTGATCATGAGAGGTCAAAGAGTGGTTTAGGCAGAGAATTAGGAAATAATCTTCTAACTCTTCAGGGTGTGTGCCATGTTCTGGAACCAAAAGAATTTCTAGAATATAAGATGTCCATTTTCTTCTTTTTCTTTTTGTATTTACTTAAGTACTCCCTAAAAATAATTGCCTCCAAGTTTTTATGCCTTTCAACATTAAATTGTCTATAATAACCATATTTTTTCTGGGAATCTTAAGTACGTTAACCAGAGTTATGAGGTTTTTTTTCAATTAAAAAAATTAATAAGTGTGTGTGGGGAGCATGGGAGGAATGGTGGAAATTTACATAGGGCAAAGGGGAGGGAGGGGAAGAGAGGTATGGGGGTAGGAAAGATGGTGGAATGAGATGGGCATCATTTACCCTAAGTACACGTATGAATACATGAATGATGTGACTCTACTTTGTGTACAACCAGAGACATGAAAAATTGTACTCTATTTGTGTAATATGAATTAAAATGCATTCTGCTGCCATGTATGACAAATTAGAATAAATAATTAAAAAACTAAAAAAAATGCATGTAGCATATGGCACATAATGATTACACTATTTCATTCTATTATAAACTCAGGAGCAAAATAAACTTTTAAAATATTCTCTAAATATAAAAAAGTACTACTAATAAAAAAAGACAAGCTATTACCTTTTCATATTTATATATATATATATATATATATATATATATATATATATATATATATATATATAAACTGAAGCACAAGGAGGTCAAATGACACGTAGAGAATGCAGGGCCTCGCAAAAGGACATTAGTAATTAAGCTTCATCAAATCTACCTCCACACAGTTGCTTGTCAGAGAGCTTTTTTTCTTTTTTTTTTTACTTTTGTTTGTTCTTGGCTGGCCTATTTTCTCCTGGTTGCCTATGGATTTTCTTGTTGCTATTGTTGTACATCTTAGTGAGTTAGCATGACAAATAAGATAGTTTGGCTGAGTATAGGTTCAAGAAGACAAAATGATATAATTTTTATAAATCATAAAATTAATACATGAGTGTTGCCTAAAACACAGAGAATAGAGTAAAACTACAAAGAAGAACATAAAAATTATCTATAATCCCAAATAGAGAAATAACAATTGTTAATGCAAATAAGCCTCCCAACACTTTTTATGTTTATAGTCATCTATAACACAACTGTGCTTAAAAACTGCATGCATTCAGGATCATAATGCACAAAGCATAGGTTCTGTAATCTACTTTTCTGTTAACATAAATTCTAGCGTTCTTTCCACATTATTTATATGCATCTATGTCATTTTAATAAGTTAGAGTGTGTCCCTTCAGAATTTAATCAATCTTCTGTTGATAAAATTTGTTAATATTTTGTTTGTAATGACTAAATAATGCTTCAATGAGTATCTTTACACTGTTGCCTGATAATTTCCTTAAGAAAAGGCACCAGAAAAAGATATTTTAAGAGATGTAAATGGGAATATTTGAAACTCTTGCTGAATATTGCACTATTGTCTCTAGAATTTTGATGAATTCATGCTTCCATCAACAGAGTATGTGATAGAAGAGCTTGTATTTGTTTTATTTGTTTGTTGTTGGATTTGATTATTTTTTAGTACTGGGGATTGAGCCCAGGGGTGCTTAACCACTAAGCCACATCCCTAGCCCTTTTTATTTTTTTGAGAGAGAGTCTTGCTAAGTTGTTAGGGACTCGCTAAGTTCCTGAGGCTGGTCTTGAACTTGTGATCCTTCTGCCTCAGCCTCCTGAGTTGCTGGGATTACAGGTGTGCACCATTGTGCCCAGCATAATAGAGCTTTCTAAATGCCATTGCCTACCTCCTCCTCCTCCAAACCCTCCTCTTCTTTCTCCTTTTTTCTTTTCCTTATATAGAGTTTGGGTAGGAGAGATGCCAGAAAGGAGCTTCATTCTAATATCATCTCTGCATAAAGTAGTTTAATTAAATCTATTCACGTATTAACTGTCTCACAATCTGCATTTATTATTACTTATTTGAAATTTCACATCTCTAAATTAGGGTAAAGTATGTGAAGTTAACCAAGTTGAAACAGTTGAAATTTATCTTGGTATTTTTTAAGGATTTTAGAGGACAGTGTTGGTCACCTATCTTGGTTACATTTGTCTGTCCTGTACCCATTTTCCAGTTAATGTGAATCCTACCTTATGAAACATCCCAGTTACAGAACTGTCTTTGATCAAGAAGGAAGCTAATCTGCCTCCTCTTCCTCCACTCCAGACTCCGGCCCCTTCTTTGCCTCGAGAAGAGACCATCTGTCCTGCAATTGGTGCATTGTGCTCACAGGTACTGCAGGGATCAGACAGAAGCCAAGCTGACACCATTGCTTTTTTAATTCCCCTGCTTCCCTCACTACCCAAATAAACCTCTCAAACCAGAATCTGAATCTCAGATTCTATTTCCATAGAACCTGGCCTAAAGTGAAGGTTTTCAATAGATAGAAAACTTGAGAAATTATTTTTTATAAGCCATTTTATTGCTCAGTCATAACTCATTGCTATTGAACTCAACACAAGTGGACATGATTCATAATAGAATTATGTCTCTCAGGTAAATACTGACTTGCCAAAGGAAAGAAATAATGTGTTTTGGTAAGCACGGAATAATGTTGTATTCATTGTTTTACTCTTGGTGTGTATGTTGGGTCTAAGATTACATTGACAGATTTGGAGATATTTGTGAAGTGGATTGGTATTCTTAGAGACTTGAAAAGTGATTTTGTATTTATTATGGTCTCCATTTTAGGAAACGTGAAATATATTGGTGACTAATCTGAAGTCAATAGTGCTTAATTTTGTGAGATGCATAAATCCCCAGTGAACAGAATGCCAGGTCAGAGTTAGATATTTTGTAATCTATACTAGGAAACCCATTTCATTTCAGCTTTGATGAATGTATTTTTAAGAATCATTTACTGGCCCATTTTTCATAAGGACAGATTTTTAGATAGAAAAATGAAAGCAAGTTAAAAGTAAGGTCTTTGGAACCTCTTCATGGCTGACTTTGAATTGAGATTCAAGTGGACATGTTGAAAGGTTTTCACAAAGCTAGCTGTATTCAGAAATATCAGTGCTTGGTATTGCTACTTCTATTTCAACTTGAATTTTGTGTTAAAATGTAAGTGTGCTCCTATTCTAATTTCTAGGAGGGCAAATTGTAGTAAAAAAGGGATTGAGTAATCAATTGGGGGATTAGGGTAGATATTTCAGAATAAAGGATATTACTTTGTCTGAATTATCTAAATTGACGATAAAGATAGTTTGCAAATCCATCTTTAATTGTGAAAAGCTCCCTCTAATCTTTCTTCCCAATAGGAACACCTTCTCTGTCTAATGGTATCCATTTCTTAGTTATGTGCTTCTGACAAGTGAATCGGTGGTAGGGGGATAATGGGCTGGGCCATAGTGGCAAATTCTGAAAGTGTTTTTATTTGCAAAACAATTTTTTTATGCTATTAACACAGATTGTCTTCTTTAAATAGTGGATTTGAAGATTGCTATCCTCTATTTGGAATTCTAGTCCCCTGTGGAGCTATGGTTGGAGCTCCCAGCCTCAAACAAGCATATCTGATGAGCACCTGTGTCTTCAGGGCACTAACCACCCTTGGAATATGTGGCCAGATGTTTCTAATTCTGGTTTCTGAGGTTCTGTAGTAGCTTGCGTTTTTTTATTAACCTACTGTAATTAAGACCCCAGTTTTGACAGTCTGTGTCCTATTTTGGGAAAGTGTGATGCCAAACAATGATGCCGTAGTTTTGCAATGCAAACACTTCATGTTCATTCAGGGCTTTATGTTTTTGCCTCATTGTTTCTTATCAGCTGGGTTTCTGAATGCATCTAAGGACACTGCTTCCATCTAGCAAGGAAACTAATTAGAGGCCTCTATTTGGAGCAATTCTGTTACCTATTAGAGTTGTCTTCCATCCAGGCAGCTTTGATTTCAATAGGTTTTCAAGAAAAGCTTCATGATCTAATCAAAACAATTCATATGTACTTAAAGGGGAACAGATGTTGTTTGATCTCGAGGTATCTGAGAACTCTACATTCTCCTTGTTATAGATCATCTGTTTCTGTCCCTGACAGGGATTGGGGTACAGGTAGATAGTTTATTTCTGTGATCCTAGACATAGGCAGAGTCACAGCATATTTTGTTAGGATTACCCCTTGGATTCTCCCAGGAGAACTGGTGAAAAGTTTTTCAAAGGCTTCTATCAGAGATTTCAGCTGATTGTTGTAACAGAGCTGCTTTTGATGGACAAAGAGGTCGATAGGAGGATGCTTAGACTGTAGAATAAAATTTAGTCAACGTAATAAGAGAACAATGAAGATCAGGATGTGGCCAAGTCCTTTCTCAGTAAATTATAAACAGAATTTTGAGTTTGTGCCTATTCCCCCATTTTGTCGTCCCTCCTACCTGGAGATGGCAGTGCACTTTTGTGGTCTTGTTGTCATTTCTAGCTGTTTTGTGATTAACAAATGGATAAGATACCAGCCATTTGGATTCTAGCAAAATAATGTCCTTTTTTCTTCATCATCAAGGAGTATTTGCTTAAAATCTGATCTGTGAACTCAGAGGCTTGTTCCATATTAATGGAATTTCAGATAAAACATTTAGAGACTCTTCCATAAGAGATGGGCACTGTGAGCACCATCAGGCTGGGAGTCAGTTAATGCCTATGACCTTTGCACACCAAATTCAGATTTTTTATTCCAAGATGCAGGAATTAGGACAAAATCTGGGATAGTCATTATTAGGCACTGACCCAGTGTGACCCTGTTCTAAAGGTGCAATGGACCAGTTTTTGCGTTCTTCAGCAGCTGTGCCATAATGATATCATGGAAGGGAGTAAGATGTACCATAAGGTTTTCCAAACTGACTGCTATGTGGTGATTTTAAACAAAGGGAAACATTTTTTTCTAGGATCCCAGAAATATGAGGCTGTCCATTCTGTTTTCCTCTCTGTTTAGGCACACAGTGTGTGTTTGGTGGATGTCCTCCAGACTACAAATTGGTGAGTTTTGGTGTCGGTGAGATATATGACAGAGTTCCATTTTTATTTCTCTTTAAATTCAACATCTATGAAGCTGTAATATCCTTAAATCTCTATTAACAGATAATAGGCCCACATTGAGAAGAATTATGTATAGAAGAAAAACCAGGAACTTAAAATGAATCTCTGAAATGTTGTGCATAATCAATAGTAGCTGGTATCTGAGCAGGAGGATGCTCTCCTAGCAAGCCTGTGAATGGAAGGAAGCCAGCAGGTTGCATGGTAGGAGGTGAATCTTTGCCTTCCATTTCCCAAATTCTAAAAGTGGAAGTAATGATTATAATCATGAAGCCAATCTTCACAAAGTGTAGTAGAGAGAAGTGTACCAGTCTCAGAATCAAGCATATATCGCATTCTCCCCCATCTCACCAATAGAGTAAAAGAATCTTGGAAAAGATACTTAATATCTCTGCATTCAGTTCTGTATCTACCTACCTGATAGAGATACTTATTCTTGCTTCCATTTTTATTTCTCCTTCCAATACGTCTCCATAATTGAGCAGACAAACAAATGAGATTCATCACTAAAGCACTGTAAAAAGTGTTGAATGTTTTCTTTCATGTGCAGAAGTTAGAGCAAACAGGGGGAAAGGGAGCTATTGATATAAAAAAAAGATAGAGGGAAGGTGCAGAAGAAGGAGGATGAAGAGGATGGATAGGAAAGAGAAGGAAATGGCCTAATGAACTTGACAAAATTGCACTATGTGCATGTGTATCTATAAAGTGCCAGCTGAAAATACATAAGTTGAAGGTACACCAGTAGAGAAGAGGAAGATAAATAGCAGGAGGCAGAAGGGGAAGGAAAGGAGGGGAACAGGGAACTGATACATGGTAAATGAAATTCCATGTGTGTTTGATTATGTCAAAATGAACCCAACTGTTATGTACAAATAATACATCTGATGGTGCTCACAGTGCCTTTTAGTTAAAACAAAAAGGAAAAAAAAAATACAAAACTATTATACCAACGGAAGAGACTACTTCTTTTTTCTTCATTATTGTTACCAAAAATTTTGTGAAAATTGCAATATTAGTAGTAGAAATAGATACCTGTATTTCCTTTCTCCCCACTTGTCCAGATTAATCTTCTCTTGAATCACATAATCCCTCCGACCCCATTTTAAATTAAGTAGTGCATTCTGAAACCCAATGACCTTTCCAAAGAGCAAGTCTGAGAGCAGCAGGAAAGCAACTGAAGACCTTTTTGGCTCCTTGGAGATAGGCACACCCAGTACCAACTTGGAGTCACTAAGGTAACCAGGAAATTGCAAAGAAAGCATTTGGAGAAGAGTAGGAGGAAAGAGTGTGTCTCCTAAAATATCCATGAACACTAAATTATAATATGAGGTATTCTTTAGCTCTTATGACCAAAAATAACACAAATAGAGCTCAGTTCAAAGTGGAGGTTTCAGTGCTGTTGAAATTCAATGCTACTTAAATCTCAGTCTTGACTACATTTACATTTTTATAATTAATCATAGAAGCAAATTTGGCTGAGATATAAAATACTGAATCAATCTTAACAGTGCTAGAAAGCTGTACACAAATCAAAGCTTCCTGGAGATAACTGCTTGTCTGTGTGAACTGATTTGTCTACTGTGTGCTCTTTTAAGGAATACATTTTTTAAGCTATCTGAATGATTTTTACAATAATTTAACAACTTTAATACCAACCAACCATTCAATAAATGAATAAATAACCCAAACTGTCTGACTTAAATGTGATTCTCTAAATTCTACTACATCTAAGAGACCTAGGTATTTTGGGAATCCACTGATTGGTCTTATCTGGTAGTCAACATGAGGTTGCTCCTAATGGCATCCATATAAGGACCAAATTATTTGGAGGAGATTAGGAGGATCCAGTGTAGAACCCAGAGAAAAAGAACTCTGTAGGATATGTTTATGAAATGTTACTTGACTCTTAGGTTTTGAGTACTTGGAAATCAGTCTGTTATTTTCACTGATTTTTGTTAACAGTACCTCACTTCCTGGTGTGTCCAGTTATTTTTGCTATATAGCACTCATATGGGTCAAAATTCACATGAGGCAATTGAGGCTCCTAAGGCACATATTTAAAGGGGCACTGACTCTTAAAATTGTGTATATTTTAAGGGGGCACTCACAGGTTTGTGTAAGGTACCTTTAAGGAGGTACTCTAAGTGAGTGCTTCCCAAAAATTTGTGCTTCTGGCAACTTGCTTTACCTGGATTGTTATTAATTACTCTTGAAAAA